AAGAGGGGGGGGGGAAGGTAGGGATATGTGAGATGAGGGGGGAGGGGAGTTGGGGTGGAAGGTAGGGGGCATGGAGAGCTGTCCCCGTGTTTTATGCACCCCGCATAATTCAGCAAAATTTGATCATTTTTTGCACAATTTTTGATTATTTTCCTTTATCATTCTTTGTTAAAATTAACAGAATCGCATAATTTCAGAATTTTTCTTGCATAAAACGACAGGGAGAGGGGTGGGGGTGGAAGGTCGGGGTGTGTGAATCCAGTATTTATGAAATACTCGAGTGAGTTCTCAGGTACTCGTTTCCTGAACATGGGCTCAGTGTATCATTTGCTGACGCCTAAATAAATTTTACATACGAATTTTTAAAATGACAATGTAACAGCAGAAAATTAATAATAGCAGAAGTAACAGAGAAAGATATTAAAATTACTGAGAAGATTTAAATAGTTCACAATAAAAAAGTAAAAATGAAAAAAAAATGCAGTATTTTCCATATGAGTGACATACGAGTGAAATATGAGTGAGATATAGGTGAGGTTTGAGTGACATACAAAGTGAGATATGAGTGAAGTATGGGTGATGGATGAATGACATTTGAGTGACATACAAGTGACCCAGTCTGTTGTCTTATTTCCAGGTTCCAAAGCCGCGGGGAGAGGACGGGGAGGGAGAGGTGGGGCCGTGCGAGGCAGGAAGTGACGGAACCATCGACTTTCACAACATGGCATTCGCTGAGGGACATGATGATATAGTCAACCTTTCGCATCATGACATTTCCTGAGGCGCAGGATATAGTCAGCCTTCGTTTCTCTCATTATGTCATTCACGGAGGGGTGTCATGGTAGGCAGTGCAAGAACTGGTACCGTAAAATTCTTATATATTTCTATAGATTGTCTTTTCTCACCAGTTCTGGGGCTTGATCTGGGCATGATATGTTCTCAATACTCTTGTCTTTGTACTACCTTGTTATGTATTGCTGTTAAAATGTTCATCTTTCTATCTCTCTTTCTCTCTTTCTCTCTCTCACTCTCTCTCTTTCTCTCTCTCTCTCTCTCTCTCTCTCTTTCTTTCTCTCTCTCTCTCTCTCTCTCTCTCTTTCTCCTATTTTTCCCATGTTTGAGTATCATCTTGTGAAGAAGAAATCTCTTTTTCTCTGTCTCTCTTTATCTGTCTGTTGGTCTGTCTGTCTATCTCTCCCTCTTTCTTTCTCCATCTCTCTCTGTCTCTCTATTTTCCATAAACATAATCATGTAATAAAATTCCAATATGATGTGGCCACAGTGGGACTGGAATGCTTTGAGGTTTGAATGTGGAATGTCAACTTTCAAATGACAAGTGTAAAATGTCAAATCTCAATTGTCAAGTGTTAAATCTCAATTGTCAATTCTCAAAATTCAAGTGTCAAATGTTAAATGTCAGTTGTCAAGTGTCAAATGTCAATTGTCAAGTGTCAAATCTCAAAATTCAAGTCTCAAGTGTCAAATGTCTGTTGTCAAGTGTCAAATGTCAATTGTCAAGTGGCAAATGTCAGTTGTCAAATGTCTGTTATCAAGTGTCAAATGTCAATTGTCAAGTGGCAAATGTCCATTGTCAAATGTCTGTTGTCAAGTGTCAAATGTCAATTGTCAAGTGGCAGATGTCCATTGTCAAATGTCTGTTGTCACGAGTCCAATGTCAATTGTCAAGTGTCAAATGTCAAGTAGTAGCATGACTGTGATATCAAGATAAAATTCTCTGTTTCTCCTCTGAGCTTTACATAGTCTCCACAGCTGTAACCGCTCCCATGACTGAAACGGAAACCTGCGGGTAGTTGGAGGGTGCCGCTAGTGTGTCCTTTTTCTTTTCTTTTGATCAGGGGTTTCTGTTTGTCTGACTTGTGGGGTTTTTTTTTCCCCCGCACAGAGTGACCATTATTGTGTCGAATGTGCTTCTTCTCTTTTCTCAAACAAACAAACAAACAAGACTGAACACCCACTACCCCTGAGTGAACAGGTTAAAGCACTTTGCTTTTCCACTTTGTCAAGATGGAAAAACGCAAATGCGTTAGCAGATGAGGCTTCTATGAATAAATTATCTTACTAGGTTAGATAAATGAAGAAATAATCATAATAATTGTATTTTATGTAATATAATAATAAGAACAAGAAGAATAAAAATTCTAAGATGTGCGGCTAGTTTGATGTACCAAGTCCGGTGAATTTTTAAAAATCTGATTTAAATTTCTATTTTAAGAAAGGTAACTCATAATTGTATGGAAAGTAACTCTCAAACAGAGAATATAAGCATTTTGGTATTTGGGGATAATTTTTTTAAAGTCAAAAATCAAATTTTGTGAATGCTTTTGTCTGACTTTGTGCTGTATTTCAAGTGAATCAGAAACATGATTTGTGACAGTTTTTGTTTGGCTCCAACAGGGCTGTGATAACTATGATGTCGTGGGCCATTTTGATGGAGGTGAACCTGAAATAGCTTCTGACTTGGACATGATGATAAATATAATGAGGTGTGTCAGTTGGGCTTTTATATAGGAGAAATGAATATAGGGATGCCAGTGGGATTTTGTGAAAATTCATGCAACATAATGGAAAGAAAGGTGAAAAATGGAAAAAAAGTGGCATCGGTGTGAATGGGAGAAGTGCAACACTAGGTCCAGCTTTGAAATTTTCTCTGACTTTTTGTTTATTGTGTCTGTCAGCTTTCTTGTTTTCCTTCCTTTGAACATTCTAATTTTTTTCACAATTCGAACAGTCTTATCAGATGTGCTGATTTTACTGAAGACGTTTATACCAAATACAAATGTAAATTGTGTTGGGAAGAAATACCGTAAAGTTGTTCACAAACGCCTTAAAATGCTAGAGCCCCAGGGAATGTCTACCGACGCAGCCAGCCACACGCCGGCAAAGTTTTATGACAGGACCTGTTGTCTCGTGTTCGTCTCTTGCGACACATTTCTCCAACCATGTGATCTGATACGTTATGAATTCCTTTTAAGGTACACACACTACAACAATGCCATCTCTTTGCCTGAAGTTTCATCCTTTGTGCCTTATCTTTACAATTACTCCAATATGTGGTTTCAGCTATTTTGACAAGGAAACGTCTCAGGACCCGATAAAGTGTTAGATTAGCTTATTGTGAAGTTTGGTACAGTAGAGTGTTTGAACAAGTCCCTCCTTTTTTTTGATGAGATCATCGGAAGTGAGCACTTCTTGATTATCTTTCTCAACATGAATTGGTTTTCTTTGCCTCGTTCTCAACTTGTAGAAAAAATCCCTGTTTTGGGTGTCACACAAACCCAGTCCGGTGGTATGTTCAGTTCAGTTGTATTTGTTAATGTATCCACGAGCTGTTTTCATTTTACTGTAGAGCAAGGAAGCATCCAACTCTAAAGTGTTGGAGGCATGAAAGAGATTTTTTTGTGCACTGCAAACTGGAAAGTCAGCTCAACATTTGTCAGTTCTAGCTGTGTTGGGAAAATGATTTATTGGTATGAAATTATCATATGAAAAAAACACAAGACTTTTTTTGCTATTTCATTTTTTCAATTGTTTAGGCAAAAATTAGATGTGAGTTTTTCAAAATGTTCTTTCCCCAGACTGGAGAGTTTTATTATAACTTCTCTATTTATCTATTTTATCTCGTACCGTATTACAACAGAGAAAGGAGAGGGAAAAGGAATGTTTCTAAGTCAATTTTTCCTGCATTTTTCTGTCATTTGCCACTGATGGGCAGAAAGTTGCCAGTTTTCTTCATTGTACTTCTTTCTGAATCTTTACATTCCTTTTTGATGCACCGTTCTAATTGGTCAATTTTTGTTTTTGAATTCATGACTTTGATTACTATAACATGTTATTATTTTGTACACTACTTTAAGTAATTCTATATGACAACAATAATAAATGAAATGTTACACATTTAGAAATGAAACAAGAACTCTTTGTCAAATTTTGTTTTTGTACGTTTATTGAACGCCATACCCGTTTTCTGCACTTCATAGCACACATGACTATATCGTACAGTATCCAAACGCACACACACACTCGCTCACACACACACAAAAATGGAACTGTACATTGTAAATATGTACTAGCACTTTGAGATCTGGTATCATTATCACAGAACTTGAGATATCTCGTTTCAACACAGAATTGCTACATGAACCATTGGCTTTCCTCTGTCACTCACACTTTGTGTAGTGAAGCATTTTCCTTTATTACTCAGCAAGGCTCTTACACCGCAGGAGGCCACTTGTAAGAGACCCCAGTTTCTGTCCCAGAGGCTGAGCTGAGAGAGAACGCTTTGTACTGTAAAACTATCAAAGCAATCATGATCTTAAGCGAGTGTTTGTATTTTTTTTTTTAAGAGTCCTTTTGTCTCACAAGGAGAGTGCGACGTTTTGTTAACCGAGTGCTGATGCTAGCATTTTATAGAGTAAAAACTTTCTCTTTTTTTGCTTTTAGGATGAGTTTTGGGCCAATTGCAGCACAAAAAAGTCGTTTAAAAAACAAAAATACAAGTGTTATTAGAGAGTAATATACAAAGAAAAGAAGAAGAGAGAATGATGATAGATATTTGATAGGAAAGAAGGAGCAAACCACACCAGAGCACCCGCCAACCATCAACTTCTCTGTGCTGTGCCAGACACAACAAACACGAGATTGAGGTAGTTTCAGCTCTGCGGGACAAGTGAAATTTTGAGGCTTCTGAGACCTCAAATGGACTGGTAAATGTATGGGTACTACCCCCCATTCAACACTGCAGGGATATTCTAAAGAGGCGGGACCTCCGAATTTAATGTCCTTGTCCAATAGGACAGAGACTAGTGGGCGGGGAGCCTTGGTGGAAACTTAAGACAAACTTCAAGAATATCCTCTGGGGTTCACTTGGGTTTTGAATCAGGGTAATCCACACCAAAGCTCAGTTAGCATCATGCTGAACTGTGGTAACAACCCCAACAATAACAACAACAGCAACAACTACACATACTGCATGAACCATGGCACATGTACCCAAGTCCTGGGATTTCACCTAACAATGACAATTACAACAGCGACAACAACAACGACAAGCAAACTTACAAGACCAGTTGTATCAGCTTCTGAATGCACAGAAATGGTGTCCTCGAAAATGAGAACAAAACAATTGTCAAAGAAACCGGTATAGTCACTATAAATTAGTGTGAGACAACATTGCTTACCTTTGCACAACACAATGACCAAAGTACGAAGCGAAATGACCACAAGGGAAAAAACAGTACATTCACATTTCTTATTAATACTTTGAGCTATGCTCCAAGGGAGTTTCAAGACACAACATGTTAGCATGACAGAACATTTCAAACAGAAAAAAGATCAGGATCTATCTAAAAAAGAAAAGAAGCAAATTTTATCTCCTTTGGAAGATATGAGGTTCAAAACTTAAAATAAAAAGTAACATTTCTCTGAATCACCAAAATGTGACTGTGCCGTTTTTTGCTGTAGTCTTCACAGGTATTTTTAAAAATAAAAATGGTAAAAGTTGTTGAACTCACTGAGGCTAATTGTCTAAAAAATTATATTATGACCAACAGGCACGAGCATTATGAATATCAGTCTAAATGATTACATATGATAGTCAAAATGGTTATGAATGATGATCAAAATTATTTGAATGAATAGCAGTCGAAATGATTCGAATAAGTTTCCGTCAAACTGATTTGAATTAATGGCGGTCAAAATAATTTTGAAAGGATTACGGTCAAAATGATTAGAATGAATTACAGTCAAAATGATTCAAATGAATGACAATGGCAATCAAAAAGGACGAACGATTGATTCAAGTGAAATAAGTCGTAAAGCTGGCAGACAACATGGTGAGTCTGTGAATGATGACAATGTATACCACTCTTGTCAGGAACAGGTCACTTGAAAATAAAGGTATGATTTGTCAGGAACAGGTCGCCTAAAGAGAAAGATATGGCAACAATTCGGATTCCATTCCAATGTTCTGGCTATCTATATTAGTGTCTGTGGTGCCATGATTAAGATTTTTTTGCATCACATGCAGGAAACCTGAGTTCATTTCCTGAGTAGGGAAAATTTTATTCGAGTTTACTAAATTTTTCTGCCAGGATGGTGTATCCCTCTCAGCCCAGTTAGCCCAGACAGGCATGGTTAAAGCCTGCCTCCTAAATGATCTAAATTGTGTTGATAGAGGCATAATCTTTTTTTAAAATTTGCAATACTTATAATATTTGGGTATCTAACCATCAACATCTTTGTTGTGTGACCACTTTCCTGTGGATGTTTCACATCTGAGAAGACCTAAATTTCAAACTCCGAGTCCGTATCTGAGGAGATGGAAATGTCCAGCTCGGGGCAGTTACGCTGTGGACAAATGGTTGGGCAGTCAAACGGACACTCCACTTTCTCCAGAGGTTCCTGAATGTAAAAGTCCTCTTTCACAAACTCATTGAACTTGAGATATTCTTTCAGCACCGGCGGTAATGGCAACTTGTCAATTTTCACTGGAGCGTATTTACCGATGGTGTTAAACACCACTGCTCTGCAGTATTGTTTGAGAGTCCAAACTTCTTTCGCAGCATTCAGAAGATATTCTCTTGCGTCGGGGCGGTGATAGATGGAGACTGGCCATTTCGCAGCTCGGATCCAGGTCTCTTGCAAGTACATCGGATTCAGATGAGTGAGGAAGCGAACAATCGACCATTGCTTTTCGTTGACGGCCAGGTAGAAATACGACGTCTGTTTTCTCTTTCTCTTCCGGCTGCATCCCCAGTGTAGTAGAGTGAGGGCACATTCCTGGCTGTGGATTTTTATGGCTTGTTCCAAGGGTGTCTCACTCCACCTGGGGAGAAAGGATTGTTTGAGTATATGTGACATGACAAGTATATGTAACATGACAAGTATATGTAAAGCGTGCTGACAAAATTAGTTGCTTCTCGGATTCGAGACCTATGGAAATAGATATGTCACGCTTATAGATAGGTGAAGTTTTTACAGTTTATAAGTTTGAAATAATAAAAGGCATGTTATACTTAAAGAATATGGCATCAATAGAAAATCTACAAATTTGACACTTGTGTCGATTTTTGGCCAATATCTCCATTTCTGGATTGCGAGAAGTAACTCTTTTTGTCAGCACGCCTCACATATATGTGTCACGACGTGGTGGAATCAGGCACTCATCAATTTTTGGGCATATGAGGTTCTTGGTATGGTCTTAAAGCTTGTTTAATTGTGATGCTTTTGATGACAGAAATACCCATCTATCTTGAATAGAAGTCGAGATATTTGCGATAGAAAAAGATGGGGGTCGCCCAGTTTCAGAGGTAAAATTAGCTAGAAAATAGTGGTCAAAGTTTGACAATTTCAATAGCTTGAGAGTCCCTGAAAACGATAAATTACATATTGTGCGCCTTTTATCAGCGGTTTTCTGTGCAATTCACATGGAAATGTGTTTTTATATGGACACAAAAGGTATTGAGCCAAAAAAAACCCCAAACAACGAAAATTCGATTTAATAATGCCAAACTGATACCTGTTTCTTCAATTTCATTATTTTGATGAGCGCCTGATTTCACCACGATGCCTCACATATGTGACATGACTCTATCTGGTCACAGAAGAAAGAAGATTTACCGCACAGATAAAAAAGGCATTACGTAGACAATGATAACAAAAACGTTGACGAGTTCGTCAAATAATAACATTCCTACAACCTATCATGAATTCAGATCAGATTATATCAGAGATGTTCCTGGAATTGTCACCTGCACATTTTAAAAAGTATTCTATATACACAGGAGTCCAGAGCTACGACAGAGAATCATTATACACATAGTTTTAGCTTTGAACGAAAAATATTTTTACTCCCATTTAAGTATAATCTTATTCACAACATACAGGTTTTCTGTCCCTTAAAAATATCAGGGCTGCCATAACAAAAAATCTCCACCTTTTATGTAATGGTAATGTGTTGGTCTCTATGTGTTTTCCTTTAGATCTTAACAGGTTGACGTTTGTCACGTAGACATCTAAACAAGTCCTATTTTGTGTTCCTTACCACTCAAGTATTTCAGCAATAGGGTCTGCATGAACTCACTTGTTGAGGCTTAGTGAGTTTGTATCTCTAGCAATAGAGTACTGTTTGTTCATTTGAATATATGTCTTACAGCACGATCGACACAATTTGGTCACAGCTGTAGAGCAGCGTATGTGTGAAGTGAACTCACTTGTAAGGCTTATTGAGTTTACATCTCTAGCTATAGCTTTTGGTCTGTTTGTTTGTTTGAAAATATATTTTACAGCACGATCGAGACACTTTGGTCCCAGCCATTGAGTAGGCTCTGTGTGAACTCACTTGTAAGGCTTATTGAGTTTGTATCCAAACTGCACGAGAAGCCGGACCATGTAGGGGTTGTGTTGTTCTATTGCCACCGTCATGGCCGTCACACCGTGGTTGCTGCAGGCGTTGACCTTTATCCCGCTCTTGAGGAGATATTCACAGATTTCATAGCGCCTGGGGGATAAGACATAACCACTAGAGGAGATATTCACAAATTTCATAATCCCTGGGGCGACAGAACATCCGCTTTGAGCCTGAGATATTTACAGATTTTGCAGTGGTACCCGTAAGATAAAACAAGAACATTTTGATTTTTTTTTAGCTTTGAGTAAAACAAGCGTCATCAACAAGATAGTCATTCAGATCATGGCTTGGTTGATTACAATCACAGAATAACATTTCACAAAATCCTAGCCAATCACCATATGTTTTCTATAATTAAACTTCAAGTTTATTGAATTTCCTACTCAGTTTGGTATCTGTTTTATGGAAATATGCTATGTTGTATGACAAAGCTATCTGTATATAAATGTGGAATAGCCTTCTATACACTAAAAGTTAATGCTTATTTATTGCTCACTTTATTTACTTTTACCTGTCTGCAAACATTATATTTGTAATTTTAGATTTTTTTCACCTTTCACCAAAACAACTAAGACGATTTACGAGGCCGGCTGCTTCAGCCCTGCCTGTCAGGGCCAACCTTGACTGAGAGGAACACAGACGGAGACAGTCGATAAAACACTTTTCCATACAGGAATTGATCTCACTTCCTCTGAGTTCGATGAAAAAGAGCCTAATCGCTATACCACAAAGGATAAAAAAGAAGCAGGACCTACTAGTGGGGACCTCCCGCCACCTGCAATTACTTACCGATAAGCAATAGAAAAATGTAAAGCAGTCAGTCCTTCCTCTGTCTTGGCATGAATTTTGCACATAGAATTCACGAGTAGGTCGCAGATTTCCAGGTTGTTTAGTTGGACAGATCTGAAAATTTGACAAGAACAATGAGAAAAATTAGTAAGCAAAAATTGGAATCTGAGCATTCTTTGATAGAAAAATAGGGTAATCTAGCATTTATATTTAAAGAAAAAGAGAAGCACATCAACACTCAAACAGTTATCTAGTGATGAGATAAAGGAAGGAAGAAAGACAGACAGAAACAAGAGAGGGGAAAGGAAAGAAAAAGAACTCACCAATGGCATCTCCCAACAACCCTCCCTTACATAGCAGATTTTAAAAAACCCCAGTACAACTGGTTTAAGGTTAGGGTTAGCGGCTCAGAACTGACTTGATGAGAGGTGTTTCTGCGCCGATGTCGAAGCCGAGTCTTCGAATGTTCACATCTGCTCCGGCGTGTACCAGTTCTCTGGCCACCGGAGCGCAGTTGGAGATGATTGCCCGGTACAGGGGGGTACAGCCTGTGGGATAGAGACAGCTTTGTTTATGCTACGGGAATCACACAGACGCAATCACTGACACGATAACAGGTATGTTCAATTTTGTGCTATAAATGGGACAGACCAAAGCTGCTGTCCAAAGGCTGAGTAATAGAGTGAGAGAAAGATAGGATAGGGAGAGAGAGAAAGACAAAAAGAGATAGAGATAGGGATAGAGATAGATAGATAGATAGATAGATAGATAGATAGATAGATAGATAGATAGATAGATAGATAGATAGATAGATAGATAGATAGATAGATAGATAGATAGATAGATAGATAGATAGATAGATAGAAAGAAAGAGAGAGAGAGAGATAGGGAGAGAGAGAGAGAGATAGGGAGAGAGAGAGAGAGATAGGGAGAGAGAGAGAGGGAGAGAGAGAGAGAGAGAGAGAGAGAGAGAGAGAGAGAGAGAGAGAGAGAGAGAGAGAGAGAGAGAGAGAGAGAGAGAGAGAGAGAGAGAGAGAGGGGGAGGGAGACGTACAGCTACAATAAGACAATAGCAACACACCTGTTTCTTTGTCCACGTAGTTCACCTCACATTTCTTCTCTGAGACCAGCAGCTGCGCCAGCTCCAGATTGCTTGACTTTGCCGCCCACCTGGGGAAACAGTTGCTGATACTCAATGGAAGTAGAAGTTTGGGATGATACTCAATGGAAGTAGAAGTTTGGGATGATACTCAATGGAAGTAGAAGTTTTGGACGATACTCAATGGAAGTAGAAGTTTTGGATGATACTCAAAGGAAGTAGAAGTTTCGGGAGATACTCAATGAAAACAGAAGTTTTAGACAATACTGAATAAAAACAGAAGTTTTAGACAATACTGAATAAAAACAAAAGTTTTGGACAATACTGAATAAAGACAGAAGTTTTAGACAATACTGAATAAAAACAGAAGTTTTGGACAATACTCAATGAAAGTAGAAATTTAGAACGATACTCAATGGAAGTAGTTTTGGACGATACTGAATGAAAACAGAAGTTTTGGGATATATTAAATGAAAACAGAAGTTTTGGATGATACTCAATGGAAGCAGAAGTTTCGGGAGATACTCAATGAAAACAGAAGTTTTGGACGATACTCAATGAAAGAAGAAGTTTTGGGCGATACTCAATGGAAGTAGAAATTTCGGGAGATACTCAATGGAAACATAAGTTTTGGACGATACTAAAAGGAAGTAGAAGTTTAGGACGATACTCAATGGACGTAGAAGTTCCGGGAGATACTAAATGAAAACAGAAGTTTTGGACAATACTTAAAGGAAGTAGAAGTTCAGGACGATACTGAATGAAACCAAGTTTTGGGATATACTCAATAAAAACAGAAGTTTTGGATGATACTCAATGGAAGTAGAAGTTTCGGGAGATACTCAATGAAAACAGAAGTTTTGGACGATACTCAATGAAAGAAGAAGTTTTGGACGATACTTAATGGAAGTAGAAATTTCGGGAGATACTCAATGAAAACATATGTTTTGGACGATACTAAAAGGAAGTAGAAGTTTTGGATGATACTCAATGAAAGCAAAAGTTTTGGATGATACTAAAAGGAAGTAGAAGTTCCGGGAGATACTCAATGAAAACAGAAGTTTTGGACAATACTTAAAGGAAGTAGAAGTTCAGGACGATACTGAATGAAACCAAGTTTTGGGATATATTCAATCAAAGATAGTGAATAACAAGATGGGCCACTCAGCCAAAAAAGTGTCCGCAGGAAGTATGCTCTTTGCTTCAGATGGCGTTGCAGTCTGTTTTGAAGCTCTCTTTCGTTTTTCCAGAAGAAGAATAGGAATAGCACCTCCTTGCGTGCGCAGATCGACTGCTGTTCATCAGCAGTTCGGGTACGTTCAGTGCGGAGTTTTAGTTTTTTTTTATTTTAATGACCTCTCTCCTTTCATTCTAAAGTCAAATTAAATGAAGAAAACCATCACCCTTTCCTCTGGTAGAGGTTTTTTGTCAGCGTAACCATTTTTAAAAAGCGTTCTTCCGAAATTTATCCCAAAACTTGCTAGTTTCACTTTGATTTTTAAAAACTCAAGTAGGGTAACTCTGTTCGCAAAGAGTGCGCTTTTGTGAAGAGGGCGCCACCAAATTTTGAGGACACTTTTTTAATTGGCTCAAAGAGAGAAGTGGCCCATCTTGTTATGTACTATCATTGATTCAATGAAAACAGAAGTTTTGGACGATACTCAATGGAAGTGGAAGTTTTGGATGATACTCAAAGAAAGTAGAAGTTTTGGAAGATACTCAGTGAAAACAGAAATCGTAAATTTGAGTAGGGGAATATTCAATGAAAATAGAAATCTCTGTTTCGTGTGACACTCAATCGAAGTAGAAATCTCTGTTTCGTGTAATACTGAAAGAAAATAGTAATTCCTGTTTTGTTACAGATGGTGCTCAATGAAAGTAGAAATCTATGTTTTGGGTGAGGGTGATCCTCAAAGAAAAAAAAAAAGTTAAATTAATTTTAGGTTTTTTTTGTTTTGTTTGGGTGGGGAGGGGGGAAGGGTGTAATTCAACAAAAACAAACGTCTCTCTTTTGGGTAAAAATTGGGTATATATAGATCGAATATCAACCAACACTGAGATGTTAATTTTCATAAAGTATCAAACAAAGCACAGATTTCTTCTTTCATAGAGTAGGAAACAAAACAGTAGTTCCCAAAACAAAACAGAAGTAAAAATGATTTGAATTATTATACAATAACGCTGAGATAAAGATAAATTGTCCAGCACATATAGGGCCTATTTTCTACCGGAGACATACACTATATAAACACAATCTGTTATCATAATTATATCATATTATGTCATTATTAGTAGCATCATCTTTATATAATTACTATCAAATTATTACTATAGTTCTATAGTTTTCACTACTCTTCTTCTTCTTCTTCTTTTATTATCATTATCATTATCATCATTACTTATAGAGAAATAAGATTATCTCTCTCCAACTAGTCAAAAATAGAAGTTGACACTGTGGTGACAAGACTACAAAACATTATAAGGCTGACATTTCTACTCACCAGATGGCTCTGCGTCCTTTTCGGGTTTCTGCATTGACGTCTGCTGGTTTGGGTTTGGCTCTCATCAGCGTCTTGACCACCTCCAGCAGCCCTAACTCGCTGGCCACAATGATGGCCGTGGGTCGACACGAGTCTGACAGGTCTACGTCTTCCACATCCACCACTCGGTCCTTGAGCATCTTTTTGATCTGTCAATTACATCAGATTGGACATATAAGAGAAAGTGACATACAGTTGCCTTTTTTAAAATAAGTAAGCAAAAATTAAAAGGTTATTATAATATTGCTACAATCAAATGGAAATGCTGAACTACACACTACAACAGAAATTGTCCAAGACGGCCAACTATTTCCGAGGAGAAAAGGTTGTTGTCTTAAACAGGTGGATGTCATGCACAGTCGTAGCATATAATAATCATCTTTTAAAAACACGAGGAGAGGAACTAATCTTTTGTGTGGGGGGGGGGGGGGGGGGATATATATTAATATGCAGGGTTGGTGATTTTTTTTTTTTTTTGATAAAAATTTAAAAAATCGATTTTAAAAATTTAAATCAGATTTTTTAAAATTTAAATCGGATTTAAAAAAATTTTTTTATTTAAAAAAAAATGTCGACACAGTTTGAGATTTTTGGTGGCTAAAAGTATGTCTTTATTTTAACTAATGATTAATTTAAGCAACTGCAATTTTAGAAAGCCTTTTAATCTGCTATCAGTGAATTATGGCTACAGACACGATAAAAAAAAACTCTCTCTCTAAAAAAAAGGGGGGGGGGGGGGGGGGGGGGTATGATTATGCATAGATAAACTTGCATTTTATTTTTATTACAGTGTGTGTGTGAGCACACGCTTGTGTTTGTCTAAAAAGAAAAAGAAAATGCTAATTTCAATTATGAAAAAAAAGTAAATTGAATACTGTATTATTTTACTACTTACAGTGACAGGGGGGGAAAGCAGACTTTTAAGCAATTTTAGTCTACTAAACCTTATATCTGTTTTATAAAACCAAGGAAAGGAATTCTGAATGTTTAAAGATGTAAAAACAGAAAACATTTTTTTATAAAGTGATTTAAATCACTGAGTTTTATTTTTAAAATCAAGTTGATTTAAATTTTAAAAAATCAATCCGATTTAAATCAACTCAACCCTGGTTTTCAATTATGAAAAAAAAGTAAATTGAGAACTGTATATATTATTTTACAGTGACAGGGGGGAAAGCAGACTTTTAAGCATGATTATATTAGTCTACTAAACCTTATATCCGTTTAAAATGAAACCAAGGAAAGGAATTCTGAAAGTTTAAATATGTAAAAACTGAATACATTTTTTTGAAAAGTGATTTAAATCACTGATTTTTATTTTTAAAATCAAATTGATTAAAATTTTTAAAAAATCAACTGATTTAAATCAACCCAGCTCTGATTTCAATTATGGAAAAAAAAGTAAATTATACTGTATTATTTTACAGTGAAAGGGGGGAAATCAGACTTTTAAACATGATTATATTAGTCTACTTAACCTTATATCTGTTTTATGAAACCAAGCAAAGGAATTCTGAATGTTGAAACGTGTAAAAACCGAATAAAAATAATTTTAAAAAAAAGTGATTTAAATCACTGATTTTTATTTAAAAAATCAAGTTGATTTAAATAAAAAAAATCAATTGATTTAAATCAACCCAACCCTGTTAATATGTAACTGTCTAGGACAGGTGGCCGTTAGAGCGGGTTCGACAGCGTCTTGTATGGTTATTGTGTATTTTTGGTATGTGTAATACAGCTGAACCTGCTCTAACGTCCACCTGTTGGGAGGGGGGGGGGTTAGATAGGCAACAATTAAATTACAGAAGAAGAAGAAATAAATACTAACAATATGAAACATTACTATCAAAATCCTCTTCCTGTTTTTCTTCTCACAGGAAAAAGATTAATTAATACTTCACCTCAAAAAGGAGATCTCGAGATTGATTATTTATATATGATAACTGGAGTTTTTCTCTTATACTTACCTTTTTACAGTTGGAAAATCTGACAGCAGTGAAGAATTCACCAAGGGCAGGATTGACCACTGCCTTGGAAGACATCCTCGTTATTTTTTCTTTCCCTCTATGTCTTGCTTTTCAACAATAAAGTTGAACAACAAACTCATTCTACTCCGAACCCACTTTTCCCAAGTCCAGTCATATCTAATGGTATAAAAGCAATCATTCAAAAATGTATCTTACATTCTAGTAGGCCTATATATTTTTAGAAATATCAAAAGAAGCTTTTATGAAAGATTCTCAACCAAAGCAAACGTAACAGACTTCGTTTTCTTCCAGCACCAGACCTTGAGACAGACACTCACGATAACGTACAGTTTGCAATTACTCCTTTCTCTGTCTGCATGCTCTAAAAAATAAGATCTATAGATATCTGTCTAGATCTATATAACATGTCCTATAAAAATTCCACTCTGTGGCAGAATATCCAATATAATTCTACTACACGAAAGAACGTCCCATATAATCCCTAGCTCATCAAGAAAACTTAAAAAGCAAAATAAGACTCATAACACTCCAATAGCACTCAGAATCTGAAAATGACCTAGAGACGTCGGAGCCTTTTCGTGATTGCTGCGCTTGGTTTACTGAATAGAGTAGTGAATAGAATATAGAACTGGTAATTCCGGAAAGGTCCTTACATTATTACATTTGAATTGCTTCAAGTCAAGAGGCAATAAAAGTCAACTCAAAGCAAAACGAACCTTATTCAGGAATAAATTATAATTTAATCTCTCTGCCTCGCACAAATAGCACGCCAGCTTAAAAACGTACGCCCTTCAGCAAAATAACAGAAGACAAACCAGCCTTTATCTCGCCACACACTCCACGTACACCCTACGGCTACCAGTCAGGTATAGCAATACCGAGTTGAATGTTGGACTAGATACTGGATTCTAGATCTAGCCTGGTGTAGCTGTCTAGAAGCTTATGGGATCATGTCTGACACTATTGACAGACACAAATCATCCGTGGCAAGCGAACTGCCACTCTGTCCTTGCCCGAAGCGTTGGCTAACGTAATAAACATGACCCTGTCAGCCGTGTTATTGCCTGGCGGGTGCATGCACGCCGTGTTCTATGACTAGGCTTTGGCCTATGATTCTTTGCGTGGGGCAGTGGCGTCCTTAGATACCCCAGTGTGGGGAGAGTATGTCAAGGGAAGCTACTCACAAAATGTGTGAACAGTGAACGCCTAATAGTTGCTTTCCTTGAATTGCTCGAGACCGATCCCGCTTGTCTGTCTGCACGAATGTGTAAAAATGTATATTATATATAAATAGAACAAACTTGCTTTGGGAAGCTGGAGGGGCGTAATAGTATTTGTAACCTCCTCACTCCCCCCTCCCCTTAGAATTTTAGAATCAAGTTTAAAAAACTGCGTCGGGAGAAAAGGGGGGGGGGGGGGGGAGCTAGGGGTGTGCATAACTATCAGTAAAACACCACCGCCATCAGCAGCAGCAGCAACACCAATAACAAACAAGTAAACAACAACAAATATCTGTTGAAAATTATGAAGTGAGTATAAATATTAGTAACATTAAAAAAAAGAGAGAGAACCACCAACGATCTACCAAGTAAGACCTACTTGAGGCACCTTCTACAGACAGGAATTAGTTACGACTAGTACTACTGAAATGTTTTACACCCCCATCAACACAATTTAGACAATGTAGGAGGCGGGCTACTTCGATATCCTGCTTGCCATGGCCAACCTGTGATGATACAACATCCCAGCAATAAGACAGAGATACAACATCCCAGCAATAAGACAGATATACAACATCCCAGCAATAAGATGGAGATACGACATCCCAGCAATAAGATGGAGATACAGTCTCAGCAATAAGATGGAGATACGACATCCCAGCAATAAGATGGAGGTAGATCCCAGGAATAAGACGAAGATAATTATAATGAGACAGAGATAATCCTAGCAAAAAGATGGAAATACAACATCCCAGTGATAAGAATTCTCCCCACATAGGCCCTCATTGCGACCTCAGCGCTTTCTTGTCTTATCTCCTTTCTATTTATCATTGAAAATGTGACCTCTTCTTAAGCTCACTCTTTTTTAGTTTTAGTAAGAGTTTTACGGCACTTGCAACACAATAAGGTCATAAAAGTGCAGAAGAATAGAAGAAGTGTTACAAGAGAGTAACATACAAAAAAAGGAGGAGAGATAAGGACGATAGATGTTTGATAGGAAAGAAGGAGCAGACCACACCAGAGCACCCGCCAACCACCCACAGCTCACTCTTTGCTATGAACTGTTTTCACTCTTTAAAAAACGAGATAGGACAAGAAAGCACTGTGGTCGCGAAATAAACAAAACTCATTATTCAAACCTTAACAAAACCACAACTTGCACTCTTAGATTTAGATGTCTTCAGACTTCAACCACATTCTCAGCAACCTTCAGGCTCCCTGGGTTAAATCAGAAAATGATTAAATTTTGAAAAATAAAACATTTTATTAGAGAATTGTTCGTTTCTTTTCTCTCAGTTTGGTGCCAGGCTGGACAATGATGTGGATGACCCAGACTCAAATCCCCCTACAGATATACAGATATTCTATCAGAACCCCAAAAAGATGGACAACACAATAAAACACACAGACAAATCACAACTCAAACTTCAGGAGTCTTTTTCCAATAATTTTATTATTTTTTTAAATAGATAAAACATTTGTGGGGAGGTGGGGGAGTGGGGACATGCAATACAATGCTGTATTTTTATACACAGGAATATTCCAGTCATCATGAACATAATCAGCATAAACGTCAAAATGTACCTCGGACATAACAAATGTCTGACATGTGCCTGTTAACTTCTTGTTGATTTTACCACAGCACCAAAAGCAAAACAAAACCAAAAACAAAAAGTATTTAAAAAAAATACTAACTAAAATAAAAGCAAAAACATGTTAATGTAAGAGAGTGCTCTTCCTCACTGAGGCTCTGTGAACACGAGACTCTCTGGCAACCACAAGAAAAATGGGTTTTAACTTCTTTTGACCTTGCTTTACAGTAGAGGGTGAGCAAAGGTCATCAGTTTTCTCGTTCCTCACTAGAACTAGAACACAGCCAGGCAAGCGGTCATGCCAGTGCCAGTCAGAGAAGAAAACAGGCGGGCATTCACCATAAAACAACCCAATGTCAAGGCAATAATTCAGTGTGAGAATGATCCTAACTTCTTTCTTATCCTCAAATTTGTGTGATATTTTGCCTTTCCTTTCTTTCTTATGAATATGAAACAAAAATCCATAGAGGACGCGATGGCTTGGTGGACAGTGGAGCGATGGCAAGGCAGGCAAGAAGAAAGAAACATTCATGTTGGTATAACTGGAGAGGAACAAAATAATATAACATAATAATTGATACGTATATATCTTTCCACATCTGTAATCCTTGTACACTTTGAGAAAACATCAACATCTCTGTGCTCCTCTGTACGAATAAGCCTGAATAACAAACAGACTAAATATTCACAGGGAAAAAACAGGAAATCTTTATCATCATTACAAAGAAAAAAATACAATAAAAAACAAACATAACCATAAATAAATGGAAAGAAAACAAAAAAAGACTAGAGTGGGTTGAAACAAAGGACTAGTATATCTGGGCATCTCTGCACACACACAGCGTCCCATCTTCAGACTGGAAGCACACACTCATCAGTTCAGACACACAGACAAAGTTCAGAGAGAAAAACAGCAAAACTTATAAGACGTAGCTGAAATACCCCGGAAACGGGTAAAATCTCATCAAATACTTTATAAAAGTTTTCCCTTGAATAAATAAACCACCTGTGCAAGTGCGGGAAAAAAACAGACCTCTCAGAGATAATAATGATAATGATAATAATAGTAATAATAATGATAATAAGCTCCATTTATATAACACATATCCCCACCAAACAGAGGACACTCATTATACGAGGTACTTTTCCCCCTGACAGACCCTTCAACATTCTCAGCTTCCGCACACGTTCTCAACAGAGCCAAACTCAGCGGTTACGGCCAATCAAATTCTCCATACCAAATGGCACGCACAAACAAATACACACCCTTAATAGATTCTTGTGTACCAAATTGTGCAGATGTACAAATACATACATGTGTCAATCTCCTTTGACAACACATACTCAAAAGTAACTTTTTTACTCTGACAGCTCCCTTCACAAAGCGCACACACACAAACAAACACACACACCGTGCAGTCACTCTGGTGTACTGTTGAACTTTGACCCACACGGCTCGGACCTGAATTATTGGTGGGTATTTACACGCTCAACTCTCAGAGACATGCGACTAGAGACAAAATGAAATGAAAGGAAAATAGAACAGAAATGATATAAATATAATAACAACCCAACAAAAATTATAATAAATAATTGGGCGAGGAGGTTATAACATCGACAACACAAAATAAATACATGACTAGATTTGACTCAAGCGGAGAATTCTTTCACAAGAGAAAGGAAAGGTAAAGTATTTTATACATATAAAAAGGAAAAGTAAAGTGAGTGATATACATATATATATATACATGTATACATATACATTTCATGGGAAAGAAATAAGAAAAAAAACCAAGGCGTTGTAAAAGCAGGAAAGAAGGATGTATCTATGTCCACTGGATAGTAGCCTTGTCTACTGATAGATCGTAAGCGTTTTAAGCTCCCATAAAAACAATTTAGACCATTCCACGGGCAGGTCGCTTCAGCATCCTAGCACACTGAGGGAGAAAACAGACAAAATAATTTCCCCACACAGGAATCGAACTCACATCTTCTGTAGGCCATGTTGAAGAGCCTACAGATGTAGGTACAATCAAGGCCAGTATTACATCATTTGAAGGACATATGAAAAGAAAAACATTTCATACAATCTGAACTATGGCAGCTTAACTCTTTGAACCCCATTGGACGCTGGGGCGGTAAAAACCCTGTTCCCCATCTGACGCTGAGGGCGTCCAGTACTAATGACAAGTGTTTCGTTTGATTTAGTGCTAGTTTTTGCTTGTTTTTTTTAACTATTTGCGAACCAAGTTTTTTTTAGTAATGACTAAGCCTTTGTTTCCGCTATTTAGAAGTTGGGGGCAAGCTTTTGGGGTTATATAACTTAAAATGAGACATAGACATAGTGCACTGGGTTTAGGCGACTAGAAAAAAACCTCCGGGAAACAGTGCAAAAAAACTCGGGGCTTAAAGAGTTAAGAGACAGAATGGGTTGTACCCATCAATCAAATCATGGCTCAAAACAGCTGACATACTGTCACATTCCACTTTTCCTACCCAGTCTGACACCCCCCCCAGTATGATTCGATGAACTTGCAGTTACTGAATGCCATGGAAGATCAAGTATCAAAGCAAAGCAGGCGACACAATAACAACTGGTACGGCAGAGCATAACAAAGTCAATGCTCTCTCAAGAACAACAAGAATATAAAAAAACTATTTCTAAAAATTAAAATTTGTTAGACCGTCCCCTCCCCCTAAGGCAAAACTAGAAAAAGATCCGTCGTTATAATTCAAGACTCTTCCCTTGCATTTCATGTTTTCTCAAACAAACTTCAACAAATGAAGACGTTTTTAAATAATGAACATGTCAGGAAAAAAAAACAGAATACAAAACAATCTGTGCAAAAAATCAGGCTTTACTTTAAGAGCAAATTTCTGCATTTTTTTATAAACCTAGAGACTTACGGAGGCGATGAAATCAGTTAAAACATTGCACACCACCACATAAAAAGATCATGGGAAATGAGAAATTGACCTCCAACCTGGTGCTGAATATACCCTGTAGGAGCAACATTGTATATGCAATAGAAGCAGAATCTTGTGCGACAGCGAGAGAAATATTGTCAGTGTCCGATGCTAACCATGTTTCCGGAAAATTAGGACACTCAGTTCTTGGGTCTCAGACTACATCTTCTATAATTACAATTGGCAATACTATACTATATGTAAAAACAACACTCCATGCACTATTGGGAGCAATTCTGGTAGATATAGTGATTGAGATTGACATTACTCTCTCCCACCCCAACACTTTTTTGAAAATCAAAGTGCCCACACGTACACCGTTCGAGTCGGCCATCGACGACATGAGCAACTTGAAATTTTCAAGTAACTCAGCCAGCACAGTGTAGCAAGGTGAGACTGCTCTACTAGTTTAACCTGCTACAGTCACAACAAAGACAAGCAATAAAACAACAAGCCTCAACTTGCAACAATGATAAAATGAAAGAAAAAAACACAAGATAAATCAAAGAAAAAAAAAATCCAAAAAAATCAACGTTTCGCTTCTTTTATGTACATACAATAAGACGTGTGTGTGTCTATATATAAAT